GAGCCATAAATCCGTTACCTGCCTTCAATTTCGTGCATTTCTACTTTTATGGATGAAGAAGATCTGCAAATCCAAAGTACGTACAAAATCACTAATCCATTAATTGAAACGAACACATCGAAGTCTTTGAAAGACTATTAATGAGATTAAGGACATATATTTTTCATATAGATATGCACACTGTATTAAATATCATGTATTACATATCGTGTATTAAAAATTACTCTTGGAGTGCTCCCAAGGAAATCTTCTCTTTCATATCTTTCTAAAAATTTTCCTAGAGAAGACGGTTAAACCGCTAACAGAAAATATTTTACTTGTGGGAAGTTTTTACTTATCGAATTATTGCGAATCATTTTATTATCATCAAAGAAACTACTCTTCCAAACAACAATAAGATCTTATTTCAAATAATACTTTGTAAGAAATAGTTCAGGAAAACTCTTATGAAAATGGAAGCGACAGCTTTGGCAAGAATGTAACAAGTCAAAGAAGTGCTTGCCAGATTACATTACCTCTTAGTCTCGAGTATATGCACCAATGAAACATTTTGCTTATTTTTTCAAGACTTTTTTCCTCCATTTTCTTTTATTTTCCATGTTCCTAATTCTAGCAAGCATGCCGTTTCTTTCTCTTTCTCTCTCTCTCTCTCTCTCTCTCTCTCTCTCTCTTTTTAATTCTTATAATCATATATGTGTTTCTTTATCGTGTACTTTTTGTTTCTCTTTTCCTTTAACTATTTATCCAAATAAATGCCCGTACAATGTTTACAATTTCTATTATTTTAATTATTTTATATATAATAATAAATTAATTAAGAGAAACTTATTTTAATATACAAAATAATAAAAATGTTTAATTGGCTCAAAATATGTAATAGAATTTTTTGTAAATATACAACTTTAGCAAATGGAGTTTAATAATAATTTTTTTTAAAATGTCAAAATCTCGATTGTCAATTTTTTAATAATTTTTGGAAATCCAAAGAAATATTTACGTATTATTATTTTCTTTTAAAACAATGTATTTAATCGCCTTATACAATTAATGTTAAAAATAAATAATAATTTTAGAACGTCCTTTCTAGTTCGAGGATATTCTATTATCAAGAAATCAGCGTTTACGAATGTAACAGGTGGTCGAATTCGATTTATGATGAACCAGCTTAAACCACAGAAAACGCAACAGTTTTGATTGAGACAAGGACAAATGTATATGAAAGATGTGGAGAATAATAAATGGATTCTATTATTCAGAAAGTTGCTAGAACACAGAAATAATGTCTCCACTTATATTCTCTCTCACCAAGATGTTTAGTTTCTGATAAAATAGAATCTACTTTGCCAAGTTGAAAATTCAATTAGAAAGCTCGATTAATAATGTCAACCGAACGAATCAATTGGACTTGATTCCCCCCCCCCTCTCTCTCTCCCCTCTCATAATATATATACGTAAAACGTCACAGTATTATAAAAGAATATTAATATTAATTGTATAAAAATTATATTGCATTTTAATTTATAATTACAAAAAATAAAATTATATACAAATGTATTTTTGCATGTGATGTAATTTAACAATTTTTGCTTTTAATTACGTAATAAACGAAAAGTTGTTAATGCAAACTGCTTGTATCAGGTTATAGTTTTGCAAATTGTTTGTATCAAGATAAATAGTAATACGACTTGATATAGTATGAATTTCGAAGGATGGTTTATCTCGTGAATTAGGACAATCTTGTTGCTAATGTACATATTCGCTGACCTAAACTACAGCTTTGCCGGAAGGCACGTTCCGCTCTTCAACAGTAACTTTCCTGAAATGATTAACAAGCAAACGATTTGATCTGGGCGAGAAACGAAGGACTTTATATCACTTTAACATAAATTCAAACTCTAACTTTGTTACTGCACTGCATTTCAATTCCGTTCCGAGGACAGAGAAATAGAAAGAAAGACGAGAAGAGAACAAGAGAAAGAGCAATTCGGATAGAATGACGAATACGATGCGAAAATGATCGGGTAGAATATATAGAATGTATAGAATCCCGAAAATGTTTATACACACATGGTGCTATAAACTTTGATAGTAGTACATTTCGATGATAAATTCTTAGTAGAGTTGGAATCAGTTTTTATATAAAAATAGATTAATAAGAAAATTACATTTTAACATTTAGTTCTTAATACATATATATATTAGGTATTGGAATTAATTCGTAGCGTTTTTTAATGAAAGAATGTTATTTATTTCACATGAGCATTAAAAAATACATTAATGAAAGTACTTCCCATCACTTGTAAAACGCTACGAATTAATTCCAACACCTAATATAAATGAAGTTACTTTTGATTTAAGATTTTAATAAAGATTTTGATTTATGTACATATATATATATATATATATATATATTGTATAAAAATATATAATAACAAAAATTACAAGTTTTAAATAAAATTTTGAAATGAAAAGAAAAATGTTTTTCAGCATATTTTTAAACTTATTATAAACTTGTATATGATTATTTAGAAGTAAAACTTTTTAGAATTTTAACTATTTAATTTAAAAGTTGTTATTACTAAAATATCAGGTTTATAGAGAATGAATTATAATAATAAATATCAAGTAAACGTAATAATAAATATTAAGTATATCTATATAAAATATATAAAATATACCTATAGATATACTTATGATAGATGTATATATAGTAAATGTATACATAGATATCAAGTATGTCTATGTATAATATATATATTAAAAATAGATAATACATACAGAGAGATAATGTATTTCGAGCATCAACTTCATGCTAATATATTTGTTAACGATATTATATCGGTGCAACAAATATCAACAAGATCGTATAATAGCCTATCAAGAAAAATTATTTCACTGTTTTACTGTACTAGCTCTCATCAATGTAATGACAATATTTTCTTAATGCCGTAATCATCCATGATTAATTGAGGCTTAATTGATATCATCTAGTAACTAAATTAATTGAACGATGTCATGATAATACCATAAAATTACCAAGGAAATTCGATAATGCCGATCAGCAATAAATTTTTCCACATATCAAGATATTTCGAATATCAATCTCACCGCTAATGTTACCAAAAGCGCTACATATTCTTTATTCGTGTAAGCAAGCATTATTATAAAACACGAGTCTAGACGGATGAGTGTAAATGATTTTCCCTTTTGCAATCTCATACTGGCTCATCGAACTCGAGTTTAGAGCCTCATGGTAGAGCCATGTCGACGTCATAACTATAGCCGCTCTATTTTTGCTTATCTTGACTCCACTGGTCTTCTCTCCTACTGAATCTCTCTCGCACTCGTATATTTCTGACAAGACTTCTTGTGAAGTACACATACACACACGTGAAGCAGAAACGCAAAAAAATACAGTTCGAAATATTTCGATTAAATTTATTTTTGTTCTCGTTCTTTTCCTATGTAAATTATAATGAAAAACATTACCGTGATAATAAAATACTATCGAAATGCGAATTCCACGATGCTATTGTGCACTTAAAACTTTACACGACTTACAACTTTTTCTGAACGTAAGAAAATAAATAGATTAAATAGAAAATGGATGTTGTTCCTCGATGTATAGTTTTTCATCAGCAAAATTATTTTCTTTTATTTACTTCAAAAAATATTCAAAGCATTCTGTTCAAATTTGATTTTAAAGCGTGAGCTTAAAAAAGTGTAGCTAAATTAGAAATTTATTAACAATTACGAGACACAAAATACTTCAATCTCTTACAACTTATAAAAAAGTTTTGAAATTTAAAGTTTGAAAGAATACTTAATCTTTCTGAGACACACTACTTGGTTATTTGAGCAAAATTACTCGCTATAAATTTAAATTACATGTTCAAATGATATTGGCTCTTTTGATTATAAAATAATATAACAAATTCCATTAATTACATGAATAAATTCCAATAAACAATTGTAATTATAAATAGAAACATGTAATCATTAATCCATTGTAAACGATATTTTATTAATTTAATTTAATATTGTAAAACAGGTTAATCGATACTCGATTTGTCTGTGCATTGTTATAAAACTATCGAAAAATTCAACAATTGCTTTACTCACATTACTGATACTTTCATACTAAATTGAGAATGTTTGTACAATACTAGAAGCTGTCAATAATTTGCGCCGCAAAAGAGCGAAGTACACACACTCCGAAAAAGTTTCACATCGCTTTTGCTGTAAATTATGGTTTATGAAATGTTCGAAAAACCAACGAATAATAAAGAATTTAAAAAATATTTAAAAAAAAAAACAAAATGTAATATATAAAAAAACCATTAAAAGCATTTCAAATATTAAATATTGCAAATATTGCATCTCTAATATATTTCTCAAAGATGTTATAACTTGTAAAAGATTTTATAGATCGTCAAATCCACCTACTCAAAAGTTAAAAATTCTGGAGCATGCTTCTCGAGAGATACTTAAAACATCTCTCGGGAAATCTAAAAATTTAATTATCTATGAATTCAACATTTATCTTATAAATTCAAGACCTTTTCAAGATTTGAAATTCTTATAGAATCGCGTAGGACGCAGGATCATTAATAACTAAGACAATATACAAAGTTATTTTTAACAAAAATTAGTAGTTATTGCATTAATTTTGTAAAATATTTATTCAATTAAATACTTAAGACTTCTAAATTTTGATTATACTGTTAGAAATTTATAACCTATTATTATTATTTTAATTGTTTTGTTCCATCTTAGATCTCTCAAAAGTCTCTCACCTTTCAAAAGCCCATAAATATAATAGACTGTTTATTCTCTCTCTCTCTCTCTCACTTCATATTTATCTAATATACTTGCATTTCCTATCTATCACATGCAAGTTGTGATCGACACTAAAACTTTCCCCGCAATTTTGCATAAGAAACGAAATCGTTTTTTATGATTGTTTACATTTACAACAGGTGGAGAAAGCTATTTCTGACCTTTGCTGGTGAGACTGAAGCTACGAAGTCTGTAACTATCCTCATCCTCGCCTTCCTCCCGTGGTGGCATCTGAGATGAGACGTCAGGCACATCCAGGAAGGCGTTGCTCTTCCTCTGATGCGAATAGTGCATGCTTTGTCCCCTTCGACTCCCTCGTCTTCTGATCCCCGGACTGACGTCATTCTCGGTCAGTCTGGGTTCGCTGCTGCAATGAGCTGACTTCATACTGGCTCCCTCATGATGATGATGATGATGATGAGCGGCCGCTGAAAGCGATAGGATATTAATGCACTATTCAATATCAGATATAAATAAACAGATTTCGTCAAAGATATATAAAAACGAATTCTAATAACGGTACCTATGTATTACTCTCACATGCATAAATATATAATTTTGTATAATATCAATATCATTATATAATTTTATTGTAAGATTTTAATTATAAAGAATCAAGATTTTAGTTATAAAAAATGTAAAATAATCATTATTATAATATAACAGATATTAAAATATAATTATACTTGTAAAGAATGTTTACAAAAAAAAATTTATTGTATTGCTTAATAAACATTTAAAAAATTTTAATAATTTTGACCTATCATTTTAAAGCTATCTCTGTTTTCGAATTATATATGCATGCATTTTATACAAAAACGTGAAATACCTATACTCGTATCGAGAGCACTGGCTTTTATCAATAAAAAAATTTAATTTTTCCAGAAATATATTTTCAATATTTTACAATGTAATGTCACAATAATAGATTTTATAACAGGAAAAATATGAATGTATTTTAGTGAACGATGAAACTATTTTTAAAGGGAATCATTGGCAATATGAACAGGACAGAACAAAAAACATCTTTTTCGACCGCATACTGACCGAGCTTTTCATCAGCAAAGCGCTTGAGAGTAAAGCAAAGAACAGAGCATTTTTCAAAGGCACTACACCTATTACATCGCAAAGTCGACGCGTGGAAAGTCAAGTGATTTAATACAACCTGAAGAGCCAGAAAATGAAATTAAACGACACGGAAAAGGAAAGAGAAGTAAACTTAGAATCGTTTACGAATATTTACTCTATTTAATCACTAAGTTTATTGAGCAGACAAATTTTCCTATTTTATCAATTTCAAGAAAATAGGATCTCTCACATACTAATTTTTTATTACAATTAGAGCTTTCAAAGAAAGAAGCTTTGAAGCTGATTTTTCCACATCTGTAATATTAAAATAATGGATTAAAACCAATAGCCTGTATTTAATCCAATGCCTAAAGTTATATTTAATTTAACAAATAGTTTTACAGTATTTTATTTATTGTAAATAAATAATAATTTATATTAATAATTTATGTGCAATATCGATCCAATTAAATTAACATATTTCTAATAATTTTAACATCTTCGATAATTTTAAATAATTTCATATATAAAATATATATTTTCAAGTATTATGCAGATAATTTTTTATAATATAATATCAAATAAAATGCTAATTATTTGAATAAATAAACATTTTAACAACAATAACTTATTAAATAAATAATATTTGCTCATTTCTACCGCTCTCTTGACACATTATACTGAAATTTTAGCTCTTTCTCCCTTAATTAAAATTTAATAGTCTTGCTTGTATTACTTCTCCGTACAAACAACACGAATTATCACTCTAATTCCTGTTTTTGTTAATACACATTTCAGTGTTTCAACGTTCAAAACGGCGAAATCGCTAACGTATTTAGCGATAAAACTGGTTTCTAGGCTTGCAAAGATACGTATCTTTGCAATGTATGGTGAAACGTGTTTGGACTGTCAGTGACCTACTAGCCAAATCCACGTCCGAGAATAACGGCCGCCAATGATTTCAAGAACTCTCGAGAGAGAGTCTAGAACGTGTTTGCCGGTGCGATATCGATACACTTTGCTCTTTCAAGAAGGATCGTACGTCATCTATGACGTTTCTATGAGCTTATCGGACACTATCGAACCGTCACCACACCATGCAATCTTGTCGCACAAAATTGACTTTTACGTACCTCGAGATCTTTCATCTCAGCTAATAATATTCATCATTGAGAAAGAACTGAAGATACACAAACCGGTTTGACAATTTAAATTTTCATACATATGAATAATTACATATCCTCGAATTAAAATATAAATATAAAGCAAGAAATGTACAAAGTAAGAACCTTTGGAGAATAGAATCGACAAATCTTAAAATTTGTTTAAATTTGAGTGCAGAAATTAGCGAATTTATTCATTTTAATCTAATCTCCTTTAAATTTTCAAGTCTTTGAATCCTTCTGGGAATTAAATACAAGTCTCAATCGGGTTGTAAAAGCCCACCTGCGCAACGAATAAATTACTTATTCATTTCCCATTCCTGCCGTTATTATCATTACCTTGAGCAGCGGCTCGGCGTCGGATGCTTTTATTTCCACCGGAAACACGGGCGCTCTGGGATCTTGTAGCCGGTCTCCGTCTTCTCGTAGGTGTACTGCCATCCGGAGTTCCGCTTCCACTGTCTCTTTCTCGTTCTCCTCTTTCTCTTTCACGAGCTCCCGAGGGTGGCATAGCTTCCAACATTTGTTCCATGCTGGAAAATCCTGGAGCACAAATCGAAGCCGATCTGGTTTTCCGGCGAAAAGAGTTTTCCGCCATTCTTTCAAGTTACCACAGCCACTATTATCCCTCCCTTCCTTAAACCTAATCACCCCCTCACTCGGATCTTTTGTCTTATATTAATTATCTTTTACAAATTTTCTCGGTAATTGTGTCCTTCTTCGTGGATTAATATCAAATCTTGCTATGACTTTGTAAAGTTCTTATATTTCACTTATAATGAAGCACAAATTATATTGATTCGTATTACTCGATTTTATCAGGCACTTTTTTACCGTAAGTTTTCCACACTTAAACACGAACGTTCGTAAAAGTTTTTGCACGATTTCTTTCCGACTTGATGTTCTTCGCAGGAAATGTCTCGCCGTGTTTGATTTCCGGAATGTCTTTTCGAATGTCGCAAACCTTCCATTCGTGGAATTCAATTACCGGAAAAAATATCAATTCGGAAAAAATTTCTACAGGATATCCAGGTAGGGATGTCATAGATCCAGTGTTATAACGATCGATCTTATCTCGTTCCGAAGAGAACCCACACGTTCTTTTTAACTCTACAAATAAAATATGAGATTTTCTTTTGGCTTCGTACACGCGAATGATATAATTAGAGTAATTACGGCCGTGGCAAATTACGTCTCTCCTAAACTCTCGGTAACATAACTGACATCTATGTTTTCTTTTTGTGCTGTATCTCCCCCCGTCGTTATTCTACTGGAGGTGAACTTGCAAGCTAATTAGATCCACTCCGTTGATTATTGCCTCAATTATTCCATACACGATCGCGAAAACTGTGAAAGCTTGTATAAATACAAAAATTATACAATGTTCTAAATTGTGGATATTTATTTCTTAAATATTCACACTCACAGAAGACATTAAATAATCATTTTTTTAAATTATATTAAACTTTAGAAGGTTTTAGCACTTTTATTATACATTAAAAAACATTATTTCTAAATAATTTGGCTTATACTTCAATTATAAATTTGTTAAATAAGATTATAAAATGAATGTTTATTTAAATCTGAATTTAATAAATACTTCATTATAAATAAAAATGTGTTCCTAAAAATTTTATTATGCTTACAGCAGTTTCAGTTAATCAAAGTTAATTTATAAAAAATTCATTTTTAGTAATTCAGAAATTAAGTACGTCTAAAATTCAAGTAATTACAATATTATTTCTCCCATAAATACAATTATTAATAAAAAAAACAAATTTATATTAATTAAATACTTCATTAAAGGTTTCATTAAAAATTATATTCCGCCGAAATGACTGAGCCAAACGATCATTTGGTCTACAATTAGTAAACCTATGGATCCAAATTCAACACAACTATAAATACTTATACACGTCTACATACACTACATACTGTACATACACATATACATATTTATGTGTAAATACAATGAGAATTGAAAAAAAATAGAAATCAAAGATAACAAATTTAAAAAAGAAGAATAAAAAGTCTAGATGTTAAAAAAACTTGTGAAAACTATAAAAATTAAAAAAAAAACAAAAAAATTAAAAATGCTAAGTATTAGATATTGTATTTAATATTTCCTTCTTAATATAAATTCACTTTTTAAAACTAACTTGATGAATTTAAAGCTAATTTAAACAAATCCAATTATAAAGTTTAAACAAAATTAAAAGTGTCTTGCCTATTTATAATTAAATAGGATAAAGATCAATATCAAGAACGTAGTTGGCAGCATCCGAAGTTTCAGACTTGACATAGTTGAAAGACAATTCTGTTGATTGTCGAAGCTGTCGAAGTTAGTGAAGAGTGAACAGTGATATATCGGGAAGATATCGCTGCGTGAAGATGTTCTGGCAACTATAATCGAGTATCGACAAAGGTAAGCTCAGTCCAACTCACAAGTACAACTTTGCGTTACCTTATCAATATACTCTCTTTGATCAAGTTTATGCTTGTCATGTATTTTGTTTAAAACTACAAGAAAATGCTGAGGAAATTAAGTAACTTGATTTGAAGATAATTTTTTTTATATCCACACAAGTAATTTTAGTAATACATATTATTTTATCTTTGTTTTATTAGTTATTTAAGTATGAATTTTTTCATTTTTTATTTGTATGAATTTTTTCATTTTTTATTTGATTTTCTTTTAATCAAAATGTCTTTAAATATCCTTAATATTTAAATAACTAATTATTTTTTGTAAAAACAAATTACAGATAAAAAAAATTAATATATATTATTAAGATATTATATCATTATTTTGCTCTAATTTGTCAAACTACTCTTTCTTGAATTATATTTAAAAAAATGAGTCCACATAAAGGATTATTTTACATCTGCTATTATCACAATACAAGTGTCGCGAGTTCCTATTTATAAAAGGGGCATAAAACAACAATGACAAGGAAATATCTTCAACGAATGCAATGTTGCAACGGACTTTATTTAAAGCACTTCTGTCGTAAGGTGTTTCCTTTGTGAAATAATACATCACGCGAGGACGCGTTTACCATAGATAGACTACAGGATTAAGTAGAGAAACTGAAGCTTTCCTCTGACAGGAGTGAGAAAAGGTCTTACGAGCTCCTCATCGACATTATGCGTTAAAATCGATAGTCTGCATAAGTACTTTATGTGTTCACGTAACATAACTTCATACATAACTTCACATTATGATATCGAAATTGCGAATTATCATAAAAGTTATATGTTAAAATCTTTGACCTTTTTAAAATCTTTGATACTCTTTCTTCATGTCTTATTATTTTTATACTATTGTATTATTGTTATAATGAATAAAGTTTTAAAGTTTATGACGTAGATATACTAAAAAGATAAGTCATCTTCGTTATATTAATTTGTCTATTATGTATAAATGTATAAATAATTTAAATAATCATGACTTTCCTATTTCTTACACGTGCAACAACGTAATCACTTTTACATTATTTAATCATATGTCTCTTGTACCCAACATGAGGTATTAATTGAATCTGTCAGAATTTTTAACAATCTCTATTCAACTATACAATTTCTTCAATTATTGGACATTTAGATTTAATCTAAATTACAGAAAATGGAATGAATATCGTACACGTAAATAATATTTAAAAATATTTATAAAATATGGAATGTAACCTCTCTCTATGTTTTCTACCCTTTCGTGTATGCGTATAAAGCTCTTTTTGCTCAAATATCTTTGTTTCCCTTTCCAAATATCAAATCTCTTTTCTGAGGAATAATATCTTATTTCAAAGATAAAGAGACAGAAAGATAAAATTTGAAACATCACCAACTTGTGTGAATAGAATATGATATATTCATTTAAATAACACTGTTGAAACTATATGTACTTACATATTCAAATAAGCAATATTATTTCTCTTAATATTCATTGAAATAAGATGCGAAATTAAATTCGCTTAAATATAACATAAAATATTTTTATATTAATACATTGCATTAATTGACGTAATGACAATTTAATTTAATTAGTTTGTTAATATTCCTAATAAATATTCAAATATATCATATTTTTAACTTTTCTGTCATAGTAATACAATTTTAATTCATGACTCTCAAATATCTAAAATATATAATACTTTATTATAATAGAAGCTATGAAGTAATAATTATTTATCCGTTAAAATACTAACAGTACACTTTTTTATTTAACTATTTAATGTTATTTAACTCACCACGGAAGGGTTAAGGGCAAAACAAAGAGAGAGAGACCGGGCGCCCTTCGAGAATTTCAAAGTCGGAGTATCGGATTTTTTCTTCCGTACGATAATCACTCCGGTCTCCTGATAGACTTATTTTTTCCGACGACTAATTATAGATAATGTTTCGCATAAATCTTCTATGGAGAAGCATAAACATCTCCGCCGATCTGTCCCCCCATATATTCATCTCCGTATCTCACTCCTTCAAGAGCTCGCCACGTCCGTAATTATCCCTCTTTTTCGATAAACTCGGTAACCTCTGCCCTTTAACTGTAATTATATTGAGAGTAATTATATTCGCATGCCTCTCTGTCTCAAGATATTGCCTTAAGACGTTACCGATGCCTACTCTTATCTCCTCCGAATTCAGGGATCTCTCCGGATCGATATGTCGCGCGCAACAATCGATCCTTACCACTTTAGGCCGTCTACGACTGTGAGATATCTCCTTATCATTTTCTACTTCATTCTTTTTCGCGATTATGACGGACTCGAATCACATGTCTCGACTGCTCACTCATGAGCACAACACGACCGACACGATGCACGTCCGACGATGCGCGGCACACTGGCAACCCGGCGTCGTGGCGGCTCCCAGGGCGAGAACCGACGCTAGGCGTCGGCGTCGGCTCTCTTGCACGCCCTCAGCGCCGACCACAACGAAAATCACGATGAGGACTATGATGAAGAGATGACGGTAAAGTTGGTGCGTGTCCAATTATCTGTCTTTTTAGCGATTCGTTGAATGCGTGAGATGCTTTCCGAAGAATCACCAGAAATTACACGGAATCTGCATTCATCAAAAAAACACTTGTACGTTAATTATTTAAATTTAATGAAAATCAACCAAAGGAAATGAATGCTTTTAGAAAGCAGAAATGTTTGCTAGTCTAAGAAAGTTTCACTCTTTAACTCCTTACAAATGACATGCGCTATAACTCAATAAAAACTTCATCTTCATTAGATCGGCAGCACTAACTTTGCGTGACTTACTTTCTCACCAAAAAATTATTTTGTTTTGCCATAAAATTTCTTTGCTGTTAGAGCTTTAGAAAATATATCTAGAATAATATCTGCTAACTATTAACTTAAAAATAAAGTGCTAAAATTTCTTTTTAACTTTGAATAATTTAGAATATATGCGGAGTACATTTCTGAAGAAAATAAAAGTTAATAAATTGTTATTAACATCGATTAATAAAAACATTACGATTTATCGAATAATAAAATAATTTACTATATGTATTATTCTTCATACTGCAATTTTTATAAATTAAATAAGGTTTTCAATTAGTAGTTAATTATAACTTGTAATCAAAGCATGCATAAATAAAAAACATTTTATTTTATTACTAAATTTGATTTGTTGTATTACTTTAAATTATTATATTATTAAAATTTAAACTTTTAATATTATCTCAACACAGCATTATCGATTAAATCGGTGGACATTTTTGTATACATGTAAAATAATTTTGTTCATATATTTATAAATTAATAAATTTTCTTAGACGGCAAATATAACATGATTATCAGATTTTCTATATCACTGTCTCTAAATTGATCCGATGACGTAGCATGACGTGTTCGTTCTAAACACCAACCTGTTTAAATTCCGGCGATAGATGACGAGATCCACGAAAGCTGGCTCATGTCAGCTTCATGAAAATTACTGCGAAGTACAGTTTTAAATCGGTTCAGAGGAAAGTCATCGCTCTGGCACCATTACCCCACACGTTGGCACTGTGTCTTGTTCAAGAAAATCTATCTACTTTGCTTTATACATATAAACAAACTATTTGCTTAAATCTTATTCAGAGTTTAGTTTACATAGTCAGCGTATTTAATTACGAAATATACTGTGTCACCATTCCAATAAAATGAGTCAGTATTCTAATAAAATAGAAGTAACTTTCTTAAAAAAGAGAGAGAGAAAATGTATTATTATTTAGGTTTCTTTTGTTTAATCATTAATTATCTAATAAGTTGATAATTCTCTACGATTATTTAATATAAATATTATTTAATATAAATTATTTAATATAAATTATTTAATATAAAGCCGATATAAAGCAACCAAAGAAACAGAACATATAACTCTTAAAAAATTTATACAAAATAGTTACATATTTTAAGTTTCATCGCTCATATAATTTCACAATGCATCATGTGTCAAGCAGAAAGAAAATTCTAAGAAGATATGCGCTTCAATAAACGAGAATAGAATTCTAAACTATGACGTTGATTATTAGTTTAAGAAATGAGGATTTTCGTCGGCAGAGATAACAAGTCTTCAGTTTTGGGATAAATATATTTTTCCATTGAAAATATATTTCATCAATTCAACGATTGTTGTTATATATTTATAATTCTAAGAATTTAAGAAAATTCTAAATGCCTAGATTTTATTTTAATATACTTACAAATATCTAAAAATCTCTTACAAGCATCTAAAATTTTTTAATTTAGTAAATTCTTACATCTATTTGTATGTTATCGGATTTGTAATAAATACTAAATAATAATCACAGAATGTAGTTTAAAAGTTGATAGGCTAAATCTGGGTATCGTACATCCAAAAGTGTTTGTGATAGGTTTCTGACTTGCTGACGAAACACATTTTAGAATCATAAAGTTCATCCAGAATTATCATTAAATCTCTTTCTTTCTAGTTTTTGTCAACGATATTGTTAATCGATACCATGAAGAAAGAATAATAGCACTATTTATTCTACAATCTACATAACTTAAAAAAATATTCGCATAATATAAATCGTTTTGTTCATTCAATGATTGTTTTAATTGGACCTAATTCATAAAAATGTCTATTTTACAATTAATAGGGAATCGAGCTCAAGATTTGTTCCTAACAAGGAACGCATTATTCATCGACATGCATTTTTCTCTTCATCCTATTTCGTCTCGTTCGTCCAGCATTAGACTCAACGCCGTACAGTATATTTTTGACTTGTAGTGGTCTAAAGCTATTTCAAGACGAAGCCGAATCAACCTTCTACACCAATACGATTCTTTGCTCCCACTTTCTTCTCTGGCCTCTTTGTGGGCCCTGACATCCTCCCTTTTTTGTCCCTGAAAACACTTTTTCTCTCAAGGATATTCTGTCGAGCTGTCCAGCCAAAAATATATGTATATAAGTACATATAAAATGTTAAAGAAAGAAAAGATCGCATTTGTGTAGATTATCTAAATGGCTTATAAACAGTCGAGTGAATTCATACATAGCCACTGGAAGAATAAGAAAAAAATCGTTCAGTATGATTAAACTGACACAGCTAAATGTGATTATTAATTTTGAATAATTTCTGGCTTGCGTAACTGCGAATTGTCAGTAAAATTTATTCAACATGGTTCATGGCGAAACTTCTCAATGTTCATTGCAATCCTCCTTTATTGTATTAAAAGACGAGTTTAACTGAGTTTGCAATTGAGTTTACAACCGAGATCCCATTTGCTCAGTAATCAAATTTGATTTCTGCAAACCATTGCAGAATTTCCATTCTCTAGTAATAAATTTTTTAAGTTGATTAATAAATTCTTTAAACTATTTGTAATTAACTTGCTTTTTATATAATCTATTCAAAATTATTTTTGTAAAAATTATGTTATATTATTTTACATTTCAAATATTTTCATATTTAATCATACAAATTACTAAAGCACGTATACAAAATGGCTTAAACAATAATTCCTTACGGGTCAGCGGGATAATCTATATGATGATTCAACACGCACAATCTAATCGTGGTGCGCCACATTCGAAATTAGCTAGTCCTAATTGCAAATGCCATCCGTTGCGGATAGTTGCTATGGGAATGTGTATGTATTTGTATATGTGTGTGTTCAGAGAATTGCTTACTTCATTAATTCACCAGATCCGAGCATCTGCGGCAAACATACTTGATTCCCTGTTAATTGTAAGATAGACATTATCATGAATCGAGTCCAATTAAAACCGATCAGTGAATGAATGCGACGAATCGAATATTGACATATGAATAAAACGGTGCCAACTTCTCATTTACTGATACTGCAGATATACTTTTATCGCGCATAAAAATAAAAAATCAATTTTTAAAAAATAAAAAATCAATTATTGAAGTTGAGTAATGAATTAATACCGCTGCAAAAATCGCATTAAATTTATCGTTGACTTTTTGTTAGCCACAATTATTATTCGCACGTATTTATATTTCCTCTAAAAAAAATGACAGTAGCACGTTCCAGCAAAGCCGAAAATATTGCTGTGTCAGAAATCTCATTTATCATTACCACAATCCGACGCTTTGTGTCAAATGACTTTCCCATAGTACGTCTGTCAATCAAAAAAGACGCGCCTTGCCGATATCTACGTGTGTATCTTCTCTGAGAGATCTTATTGTAATCATGCTAAAACAAGAAATAAAACATTCGAAGTTGATCGTCCATCAAAATGTAATTTTAAAGTAATTTTGTGAACCTAAAAATGGCAAGTCATGGAATTGATCTACGAAATTTACGGAACGCACACATTAAATTTATTTTTAAACATATAACTATAGATTTTTATATACGGAAAAAAAATTAATTGGATGATTCAGCAAACCTGTAACTTACTGAGCAAATTCAACATCTATAATTAAGAAGATGGGATGGTTTAACAAATCATTATTTTAGCGATTATTAATATTATTCAGTCAACTTTGCTACTTTAATATAGAAAATTGACTATCTGTATATTACGATTGTAGATTTGCTAAATTAGTGAAGTTTTCAGCTGTTTTTTTCCATGTACTGCATTAATTATAAACACCTTTCTCTTTTATCATTTTTTCTTATCTTTTGCAATAATAATAAACTACTTTTAACTTTTTTAGATTAACTATCGTTTGATTAAGATTTCCTTATTATAAATAAGGATTAAGATAAATGAAATACGTTTTATAATAAATTATGTATTCATTTTAACAATACATCTAAATTTATTGTCAAGTGCATCTTGTATTTTAACCTGACGTACACTTAACAAAGGGAGCATTTGATTGCAAGGTAAACGAATATACCTGATGTCGCATCGAATGCGGTTCTACAAGAGCTATTGATAACGTTGACACACAGAGATGCACTATCATGCGTATTAGAAACATAAGTGGTATGTCATGTTGACGTAGCCTGCGTAAACGGTCTTAAGTGCATGTACATAAAGGTCAATATAGGATAAAGATAGAAGTTATAATGCATAAATAAACGTGAAGTCATATACAATTATCCACGTCCAAATTATCGACGAATGTTTAATTCATTCAACCTTTTGTTTATTTCATTTGGTTTAATATAATATAAATTGCTCAATTACTAAAATAAAACGGCAGTAGATTAACAGTAAAGTATTATATTATTTTAAAATTAATAAAATTGATAATTTATAAATTTTTGAGAAGTTAAAACTGTTATTAAATTTTATTTTTAAAAAATATTGCTTTTTTTGTTTATAATAATTCAGGAATAAAGAGTTGAAAGAAGTAAGAACTTTTTCTCCTCATCTTAGAATTTGGAAGATAAAAA